AATATTATAAATTTAAAAATATCAAGAAAATTATAATTTTGTATAAAAAAAAAAATACATTGATACCACCTAAAGTTATAAATTATTTACCTAATATATCTATACATATAAAGTTCAATATATTTAAAATGTATATAGAAAAAATAATTCATAGAACTATGACAAACAAAGATAAAAAACAAAATCAAGGATTACACAGGTCTGCAAAAAAAATTTTTTTTCAGCTGCATGGGATATTTTTGCTGAATTATATGTTTTAAAGAATCTATGATTTTTAAAGATCATAGATTCTAAAAATGACTTTCATAACATCCCATCACATAGAGGTTTTTTGCAAAATAAAAACAAATTTTTGATAAAAACTCTTATTTATTACAATGAACTATATTATATTTTCTTACAACTAACTAACTAAAAATTGTTTCTGATACTTATATACAATTTTAGGTCTGCTCTTTTTTCTTATGACACCTTTTCTTCTCTTTGATGCTTCTCCGAACTTGTTTCTGATTTCCTTCTCTGGTTTCTCGATTGAGCATCCAACAGTAGTCAGCTAACATATTGACATCCCATTTTCCTTGGTAACATCTCTCGATATCACGGACATCCTGGTGAAATCTTTCACCCTGTTCTTCACTTTAGGCTCCCAAGTTTTCAGGAAAATAGTCAATATGGGAGTGGAAGAAATGAACTTTTAAGTTCATCTTACATCCTTGAGCTTCATATGCTGCCAGTATGCATTATATTTGTCATACATAACATAACAGTATGCATAGTTGTCAGGGTACATTCCCCAAAAACTTATGCACTACATTCTTGAAAGAGTCCCATGCTTCTTTTTCCTTTTCTCCTATTGTTTCCAAAAAGAGGGGATCAGATAAAAGGGATGCTGACTTTTCAATATGCATTCACCACAAACATAACTGAAGCTGTCAGGAGAAATTACACAACCTCTGAGAGCCATATTCAGAAATAAAAATACAAGCACAGTAGTGTTCGAATGCTGGATATAAACTAAGTGTGGCATTAGATGGCCAGAGAGATACTGAACTTATTTAGCTTGTTGAAACATGATCTAATCCAACAGCAGGTTGTTTATATTTATTCCTAGTATCCCAGATAATATATTGTGAACTGCTGGGGAGGTCAGGGTCAGTCTCACCTCCCTGTTTGGACAATAGGTCGTAAAACCTGCTCACTTTTCAAGATGGCTAAATTTACTATTACTGGTCCTGAGGGTTGGGACTCTCAAATGTTGGTTGAGTGGAGGGATAGTATTTGGGGTCGATGATAATGTGAAGGCCGTATACAAGTAAAGGAGTCTACCATTTTAACAAATAAACCAAGAATTTATTAAAATAATCAAAATTGACGAAACTACTACGCAAATCTCGACGCTAAATCACCTAAGAGCTTGAGAGAGAGTTTACACGCTTTTTCATACCTCTTTGTAGGTTTCCATGATGATTAAGTCCATGTAGGCACAGAAATATCTCATAAAAAGTGTCTTAGATCCAAATGAGCACAAATATAAAAGTTCACGACTCTGGCGATGGACGAGGATCAGAATTTTGGCGGGTTCGGAGATTTGACTCGTTGTCGTCTGTCTGGCTTTCGTTAAGAGACTCCCCCGAGAGGGGGTAGGAAACGTCTTTTATAGGTTTTTGCTGGAAAAATTGGTCATGTGATCGGATGTTACATGAGATAAAGGTTATAGGTGTTCCAGGAACCTAAAACAAGTGATGAAATTTGGATGCTAATTATAAACTTTTGTGCAAGTCGAGCTGCAAGTTATGCGAGAATAGAATGTTGATGGTTATGACAGGAAAGTTTACACATTCCTGGCTAAGATCGTCTTTTTCTTCCAATCCGTTATATAAATAGAGGTAAAATAATTAAAATTTTAGTTAATAAAATTCCAGATCTCACAATATTGAAACATGCTCAACCTCACCAGTAATATTACTCACTATCAACTTTTAATCTGCTTCTACACGATCATGCAATCTTCCTCCAAAGGCTAAAACTACTTAACTCACCTCCCCCTACCACTATTCTCTTCAACCATTAACATTTTTTTTATTTATTTATTGCCAAGTCCAGCTATAATTGATAGAATTAATGTGAGGAGTCTTCGTTTTAAGGCCATTTTTTAAATAAAAAAAAAAGAATACTAAATTTTAAGTTAACTAGGAATTTTACACTAAATACAAACAACAACTTGAGTGTAACAAAAAAAATTGATGAGATGGAATTTTTTTGGTATTTTTTTCATTTTTACCAAGTTGAAATCTATAAGAAAATGTATAAAAATCCTATGCAGTTTTTTACTTGCAGACCTGTGTTATAATTAAAACATCTTTGTTGAATAATTATCCAAAAGAAATATTAATCAAAAAGAACAACAAAATTATAGAAAAATACAATATAATAAAACTATGTATAGATTCCAAAAACTATTTAAAAATTATAATATACAATTAATACCAGAACAGACAATTAATTAAAAGAAATATATTAAAAAATAAACAGAATAAAACCAAATTAGAAAATATTCTAAATCAAGATAATATGGTTTACAAGTTAGAATGTACAGTACATGTGAATCTCCAAAAATATGCATTGGAGAAACAGAGAAAGTTATAAACAAGACTAAAAGAACATATATGATCTATTAAATACAATAATGAGAATTATGCTACAGCTAAACATTGTAATTCCCAAGAATGTGAAATTAATATAAATCTAGTAAAAACATTAAAGATGAAAACAATTTTTAAAAAATTAAAGGAGCATATTGAAATTAAAATAAGTATTAATGAAAATGAAGGAATGATATTACATGAAATACAGTTACCAATTTTTAAACACTGGGTGATGCATAACAACATATAAGCATTTGCATGCCAGAGAAACGAGGTGGATACCAATTCAGAATTATAATTTAATGTAAAGTACAGTACAATTTGGAAAAGACAAGAATACATGGTAAGATAATTAAAAATTAGACAATATGAAATTGTAAAATAAAAATGTATTTATGGAAATAAGAAAAAACAAATTTTAAATGTATTATTGATATAAAATTAAAGTTGCAAATTTAGATAATTGTGTAAAATTTACTATATATTAAGAAAATATTTTGATTTGTATAGCAAAGTTAAAATAGTTTTTTTATGTTTTAACAGAGATAAAGTCAACTGATGAAGGGCAATAATGGAACTGAAATGTACTGTACATATTGATTTAATAAAATCTCGGTAAACTTTCCAATTGAAAACTACAAATAGATAGCAAATTCAAAAATAGTTATTAAGAATATTAATTATAAAACAGGACAAAAAGCAAATAAAAATTGGCATTTTTAATTCATTAAATTTGTTTGCTGGATAAAAAAGGGGTTTTCTCTGTTATTTTACAATGTAGAAATAAAATCTCTGCATAACCATAAAATTTGGTTAAAATTTTTTAAATACACACAATTTTATTATTAAAAATATGTTCCATTTGAATATAAATATTGAAAAAATGAGAAAAAAAATTTTTTAAAGTAAGATTCAAACCTACATACACATCATACCAAGATTAGTAATCAGTGACCTTACACCCTAAGTTACAGCCATTTAGCAAGAAAATACTTTTGAGACTCAGTTATAATGAATACATAAAACTTTAAACTCATTTTTCTTACAAATGCTCGAAAGTTGTATCAAGTGGCTTTATTATTGATTTACAATAAGGAAGAATTACAATATACATCAAATTTATTGAAATAGAAAAGGACTAATCCTGAGCCTCTTCTTGTCAGTATGATTCTGGTGTCTTGAACATGATTGTATCCCTGGGTGCTTCTGAATCTTTATGTTATATCATCATCTTTGTGTTAATAACAATAAATATGGCTAGGCTAATAAGTGTAAAAATGAGTCAGTTTCTGATTACAATGTAAATATGAACGTAAATGGGATTTATAGGCTTGTACATAACCTTAAAAACCATACCACCATTACTTATTACAGTAAAACCTCTAATCTCAAATCTTTCTTTAAGTTGAACTGGATGTCAGTTCTGGCAAATATCCTATATAATGAAATTTTGTTTGACTTAAAAAGTAAAAAAGTTTATATATATCTCAAAGTTGTTCTTCCTTAAGTTGAACTCAGCAGATGCTGACCAACCCAAGTCTATTAAATTCTGCGAATCTTTGGAATATTGTTTGGTAAAGTAGCTTTAATACAGCTGGATAAGCAAGCCAATTACAACAAAGTTGCCAATTTAGCAGAAAATTTGCTAAATCTACCCTTTCTGTAGCATTATCAAGTAGCTTAAAAGTAACATTCTCCACCTGGTGGAAATGTTAGTGGATTTTTTTATCACAGCAGGCTAAGGTTTATTTTAGGTATTTTGTTTTTTAATTTCTATTTAGAACAGAGTTCTTCATTTATGACAGCCATCTTGAATTTTATCTTATGAGCTTGTAAAGTCTTTTATAATAATAAAGATCTTTTTTTTAACTATCTAAATTTTCTTGTAGATAATTTATATAATACTGTATATTATGCAAAATTTGATTTTTGATATACTCAGTGTAGCATAGAGTGGTAAGGTTGTGATATACCTAAATTCATAATATTTATTATAATCATTATTATATTTCTAATAATGATTCAAATAAGTATTATGAACTTAAATATATCATAGAATTGCATCCCTTATTCTATTGCTTTACACTTTGCATCTGAACAAGAATTTTTCCATTTTTCATATACCCCATATGTATAACTCTCCATAACTCAAATTGGCCATTTTTGGTCCCTTCAAATCTGAGATTTACAGTTTTTACTGTATTTGTTTGATTTAGGACCAATTAGACTTACTAAAGGGTCTAGGATTGGAAGCTGTCATAACTCAGGGACTACTTGCATATTTTATGAGGCATAATCTGATATATGATAGCAAGCAGAATATTACACTCATCAAAGGTTAAAGACTATTCTTACCTGTGAATATCCATATACATCAATTTTTTTCTCTTCAGATTTGTGTCTTATACGACCCCCTCCAACACATTCACACTTAAGACCTAATGTAGTTATCTTTGGTTCCACATCATCTAATATGTCCCCTTCAAAAAGTTTAATATAAGATTAGTTAATTTGTTTTAATGTAGATTTTTTATTTATTTATATCTACCAAATCCTTAAAATTAAACTGATGACTATGTAGAGTGATTGATATTCATTTTGTAGATTATATAACATATATCAGTTTGAATGGCCAGCAGTGAAAGAAATTACTATTACAATGAACAATAATCCTGGCCTGATACAATTTTATATATATATAAACAGTTCACTGAATCTTTGTTGAATTAAAAATTTAAAAGATCAAAACATGAAAAATGTTATTACATCTACAAATATAATTTACATGACTTATATTAAAAATAGACAATTTTAGCTATTTATTATATGATAATTAACTAATTAATGATAATGACTATCATTCATTAAAAAGTTAAATGCATTAAAAGTATGATAAAAAATGAAAAATCAAGACTATGATAGCACTGCACCTTTCACTTTAGCAAAAATTTCAAATCCAAATTACTCAGACCCCAATAGTTCAAGTTTGACTAAACTTTTTTTTATTGGAATTGCCTTCCCAAGATCTACTAGTTGTGATAAAAATTTACTTGGACATACTGTATGTCGATACTCTCGACGCATACCAATTTGACCCACTAGAGGGACCTACCCAATAACCAAACAAAAGGTTTTATGACCCTTTGTCTTAACCTGTTCCTTTGTTAGAACTACTGTCTGTCGACACGTGTGGACGTTCGTCCTACTGCTATGTAAAGACTTTTGTACATTAATTCACAGATTAAAGGAAGATACCTTAACCAGTTTAATATGTTTTCATCTGAGTGTCTCTCCACTGATNAGCTACACAGGCTATATGTTCATGCTCGCAGGCGCAGTAGTGAGTTGGGAATCACGAAAACAACGTACCGTCGCACTCAGCTCAACTGAAGCATAATACATCGGACTAACCGAAGCAACAAAGGAAGCAATCTACCTTAAAAACCTTCTCTGCAACGTTCACTCAAAATCAGATCATCCCATAACGATATACAACGACAATCAGAAACTTGCCAGAAACCCGATCTTTCACTCTCGCACAAAACATATCGGGATACGACATCACTTCATCCGGGAGGCTCTCGAACGCAGAGACGCAGACATCAAATATCTACCAACCAGCGAGATGCCGGCCGACGTTCTAACCAAACCATTGTTTTCGAACAAGCACCGGTCGCGCATCGCCAACATGGGTATCGGACCCATAGAAGGTTCACCGTGATATCAAATTGAGGGGAGGTGTCGATACTCTCGACGCATACCAATTTGACCCACTAGAGGGACCTACCCAATAACCAAACAAAAGGTTTTGTGACCCTTTGTCTTAAACCTGTTCCTTTCGGACTACTGACTGTCCACACGTGCGGACGTTCGTCCTACTGCTATGTAAAGACGCTTGTACTATAATTCATAGATTAAAGGAAGATACCTTAACCAGTTTAACATGTTTCATCTGAGTGTCTCTCCGCTGATTCTGAATTAACCACAACAGTAATGGGGCAAGATAGGCACGTATATAAAATTATGTTATTAACAATGTATAAGTTGGAATTCACTATTAAAACAAAGAAATACAAATCCAACACCCATTTAATATTATTACAACGAAATGCAAGTTCAAAGACATATATACATGAATAACAAATGCAAACATGTTTTCATTTATCATCTGTTTGATTTTTATCCTTTGCTTCTAATGTGGCTTTATGCTGCCGATCTTACCCTGCTAGTCATGATTTCGAAACATTAAGTACAACCCTGAGAACAGAATGCCAAGCCACGATCTGGCCACGTGAATAAGTTGAAGTTACATCCTTCTAACAGGAAAAGTAACTTTCGTTATCATGGAATTATAATAAAACCTGCCAATTCAATATAAATGGAAAAAAAATATATTATATGGAATTGAACGAAAATGAAAATTTGCTTTATAATTCAACTACGCTTGTTGGAGAACAATAAAAACACTACACTCAACAAGCCACCAATAAAACTCAACTGCCTAACCTATAACCAAAGTCTCCTTTTAATTTGTTTTTTAAAAAAAGCGCTTGACAAACTTGCCCCGCATGCCGAAGCTGCCCCGGTCTCCCCTATATATATATGGGAGCTTTGAACAATAGATACAAGTAGCAAGAGACTAACTTGTCCCAAACGAGCGTGAAATCATGACAACTGGACCTTTCAAGAGAGAGGGATTACACAGATTTGGATGGTGAGAAATACTTTAATAATTGGGCTGGGTTTTGTTTCTTCTAATGCTATGAGAATCATTCCTAAAATCGGCACTTTCCGTACAGATTAATTATCATCATTTTCTAATGATTAGTCCTTAGATAATTCACGGGTTTCTCAACAGATGAGATTTTGGCTATAGATGATCTCCAGTTAAGTTTTCTCTTCAATGAGTGGGCAGTGTAAAAGCGTATACTGTATTTTAACTTAAAAATATGATTAAAAATTGCAGCCTGGCATTGTGACAATATCACAATAATTTTTATTCATTTTATTACGTTCTTTTATGCAGAATTTAAGAAGGTAATTAGGCTATATTAATTAAGTATACAGTATATGTAATAAACTTGTATACAATGCACAAAGAATGTAGTTTGCTGTTAATGTAAAAAAAAATCCAGCAACGAGTTGCATACATTTTCCGGGCAACAAGATTTAAAACTGCGTGTGGTGCCATCTGTTAAAATATTTGATTAAAATTTTTTTTTATATAATTAATTATTATAAATTGATAAAAGAGCTTAATTTTAAGAATAGGTATGGGTTTTATAAAAACTTATAAATGCTAGTAACGAGTAAAATCGTCATTAAGTTTGACCCTACTCGAGATACTAACGGTCTCCATTATCTCCCCACTCCCTCGACCTTTAATCACCAAAATTTAAACGCATCTATCTTTCTAATAAGCAAACCTCCCTGCGAAATTACAGAAATTTTGGACAAAAAGCATGGGAGTTATTAAGCTTCAAACAGGGTGAACAATATCGTACCCTACTACACTTACATCCGCACATTCAAAAAAAACGTAGAGAAATGCAAAACAAATTCGAAATTATTCCCGAATTTGTTTTGCATTTCTCTACGTTTCAAGGTGTCGTGAAGTCCGAAAACGTAAAAATCTTGAAGGATCATTTTTGACCGATCGCTATACTTTTTCTCTGTAACATATAACAGCCGAGAAAGTAAGAAAATTAAGTGTTTAAATTGTGAAGAAAATCTATTCAACAATTACGTAATTATCGCAAATAAACACTTTAAAATCCACTAAAATCTACATTTATCACAGCAGATGGCGACACATTGCTAGATGCACTAATACGACACCTATAGTTTTTAATTTCAAAATTACCACACCAATGGTAGCTTTCAAAATGGTAATTCGGTCTTTTTCGAAAATGGACATCTTATGGGCAATATGACAGATTTATGTACAAAATACACGTATAAATTGTTCACTAAAACTATTCAAGTAATTATGCTTTGAATATGTACTTTGTTAATTTGAATAAAATTTGTAATTATTTCCGTTATACGTATCCAACACACAACTATTTAATGTCAGTAAATAAAGGTGTACGTTTTATCGATTAAATACATTAGTTTTGTATATATTTTTCAATTAAACTGAAATAATTTTATAATTAAGGGAGTCATTTTATGCTGTGCTTCGATTGATTTAAAAATTTACAAACATGTTATTTGGTGTGTCATTAAAAAAATTAACATCGTATCGTTAGCCATCCATGCGTGCAATGGAATAAATACTTAAAATATTATAGCCTTTTACACCGTTTTTCAAAGAAAATTCATTATTCTTAATATGCAATAAATCATTTTAATTTTAAACTTAGTACAAAAAGTTTACGATAAAGATACAAAGTGAAAATAAATAAGTAATTAAAGTTTCCCCTCACCTTTCCTTAAAATAAAATTGTCGATTATCCAAATATGTTTTTATAAAAAATTTTAATTGAAAACTTAAATTTATTTAAACGTAAATGAATTATTAAAGATATAATTTCTACAAATATAATGACACAATGCGTAGCTGCTAACATATTTGTTGTTTTATTCACATGAAGGTAATTCTAGTTACTCGCTACTTTACTTATTCGCGATTAGAAAGTTACAACCATCCAAAGGACAATTAGTAAACATTTTTAATATCCGCGAATTTCTTTTACAATATTTCAAATATAATACATATTTGTAAAAAGTATTCTGTTATCTCCAGGGCTGTGGAGTCGGAGTCGGAGTCGTGGAGTTTTGGTGTTTTAGCCGGAGTCGGAGTCGGATGGTAAGGAAAAGTCGGAGTCGGAGTTGGAGTCGGTAGATTTTTACGCGACTCCACAGCCCTGGTTATCTCCGATTTTTACACTTTTTAATAAAGTCAAGCAAAATACAATAACTACTGTTATACTATACTTAAGTCATCGTAGTACAGCAACAAACCTGACAAAATTTAGTAATTGCCTACTCCAACACAATAATAATAATAACAATTCCATATCAATAAAAGTTGGCAAAGAATGTAGGAGGTGAGGGGTTTTAGCACATTTAGTTATAAGAAGCTGAGAACATACTCCATACCGAAAAGATTTAGAATCCACGGATGACGAACTAAACAACGAAAATGAACAGGAGAAACGGCAATATTCACAATGAAAGCTTCTAAGCTTTCAAAAATTGTACCATTGATAGCGTGTGCAAGAAGTTACAAGAACCAGACCATATTGCTTACCATAGTGTTGCTGAAGTCTTAAAGGACATTAATATAAAAGCCCATCAAACATTATTAACTGAGTTTTTCCAAATTGTTTCACTCCTCAACAATNATCGACTCAAAGGGAACAACAGCCACAGTAGCGGACCGCATTGGTAATCTCTACTACGTAGTACCTCGGAACGATCGAATCCACATTTCCAAAGAAAAATCTCCAATCAATGGACTAAAAATCTGGCACGAAAGATTCGGTCATCTTCAC